ACAATATTTTGATGGCAATTATGACTTTAAAAAAGCAAGTATTGCGCAACTCATCATTTTATAGGTAAATTTTTATCGATAGGCCGATTAATTTGTTATTTTATTTACGTTAAAGTTTGTGATGAAGCCAGACTATTTTTGAGCTCCATCAGCCTCGACTAGTATATTTTCGGATGCTTTTGCAGAGCAAAATAAACTTCAACTTATAAGTGATACGGAATTACCTTCCCCATTTGCAGATTCTTTATCAATCCGATAAGCGACTGGCCGAAACTAGTATACCCTGAAAAAGACCAGGCTCCTGCTAATCCAGAAACAAAACGAACTGTGAAGTTGCCTCTTCATAAATTATCGCATTCACTTGAAAATGTAAATTTATAAATATTTGCAAAATTAAACGCTGCTTCGTAAATAGTAATAATAATATATGAATTGGGCCATTCATGCAAATGGTCCTCAGACAAGTAAGCTTTGAGAGCAAAATATGCATTTTAATACTATAAATTTCTTTTAGCTGGTTGATTTTGGGATTAGGCAGTTTATTAGGAATTGTTAAGATTTTACTTTATTCCTTCATTGCCCTAAGTTGAGAGACAAAGCAGTTACCACTTTTTAAGTTGAAGTTAACCTTGTTTCTTACATATTTTTTGATCAAAACTAATATCCCAGCTAACACAAAAATGGGCTTAAGACGCGGTAATCTAGGAAATCTAGGCAGTCTAATCATTTATTTTCATATCTCCTAATAGTATATATTCCTTTTACTCATACCACAATTTACGAAAATAGGCGCCACCTGCAGTGAATGCGAAATCAATCATTATGGCAGTCCAACCGAGCCAGGTGGCTCTTGTCTACCTTGCCACTGTAACGATAATCTTAACCCTATGGATCCTGGAGGCTGCGACCCAGTGACAGGGATCTGTAAAAAATGCCTCTTTAACACAGATGGACCACACTGTGAAAGGGTAAGTCCTAAAACTATTTATAATTCTTCCCTGATCTGTGATATGTAGTCGTCTATGTTAGACAGAACTACCATCAGTCTTTTCTGTAAGCCTACTTTTCTTTTCGCTATATTTTCTGTCGCTCTCATGTTTACTACTATAATTTCAATCTTAATCATTTGACTCTTGAATAGTTAATTTTTCTCTCAAACACATATGATATTTAGCTTACGATTAATCAACGCTAATTATGATCTTATCATTGTCTTGAGACGTTGATCAGCCCAATGGGCTGACTCCATTTACACTATATAAGTAATTTAAATTAATTGTCTAAACGCGTGCTCAACTTTTATTTTAATCTTGCATTCGTTACTTCGAATTTAGCTCCATAGTGGTAGGAGATATTAGCATTAACTATGAAGCGAATTTTCGTTTTGATTTTATGAAATCTCTTAACTATCAGATGTTTGGCGTTTCATCTTTTTCTTTGTCTGTTCTTAAATAAAAATCCAAATTTTTCACAATGCATGTATCGTCTTTACATGCCGATATCACTTACGTATATTTATGAGTTCAGTGTATGTCAGGATACTTCGGTGAAGCGCGTCTGAAGAACTGCCGCCCTTGCCAATGTAGCCCCGAAGGTTCAGTTGCAGGTGGACAAACGGGCTGCGACCGGCTTACTGGGCAATGTCAATGTTTGCCAAATGTACACGGCCAGTTTTGCTATGATTGCCGTGAGAACCACTTCAATTTGACCGCTGGAATCGGTTGTCAGGCCTGTTACTGCGACAAAACTGGTTCTGTTTCGCAGTCATGCAATCCGGTGAGTCAATAAATATCCGCGTACATGTAATTTTTATATTAATACCTGACAGCTTCGTCGTATAATTGCTTGACCTTCTAAATATCAACCTGACTGGCAATAACACTAAAGTAGTCCATAATCAGTTGTTTATTTAGTGTTTGTTTGACCTCGTTTTCTAAACTTCGTCGGAGCGACAGAGAGACCTAAAGAAACGCACCTAGTCCTGCATCCTCTGCCATAGTATTCATGATGATTTCCTGCATCGAATCATTGACTTGGTACCTCCTCAGATGTTTGCCGGCATCGTTATCTAGTTAGCTTACTAAATTTCATTTTTAGATTTTTCTTAGTTATTGGGCTGTCAAGTTACTAGTCGCTACCAAAGGTGAGATTTGAGAGAGACCTCGAGGCTGCGACTTGCCTTGAGTTGGAAGGAAAAGTGAAATTGCGTTATCAGCATTAGTCCCATCACAAATACCAATATGTAGAGACCTGGATCTCCTTAGAAGCTGCACTCGCCTCGTGCTTAACCGGCACACGAGCTGCTCCACAAATTATGTTGAGGTTTCGTGTCTTGATACACACGACCTTGTTTTGAGTCCCATTGGGAATGTTGGTGAAGCCTAGAATAGGTCGAATTTCCAATCTTCATTGAAGGAGAAAACGTCTTAGCAGGCACGGCTCGCCTAGGTCTCATCAGCACCACCAGCAGAACTCGAGCCTAGGCAGTACAGCATCAAGTCTCGACGCGTTAAC